GGCTGCACGAGCCAGCTGTCCCAGAAAGCGACTGCTGGGGTTCTAAGGAAGTCCCGTGGCTCCCCTGGGGGGGCTGCACCCCCAGCACTGGGCAGACACTGGGCAGATGCTCGCGGCCGCACTGAGGGCCCCACGGCAGGGGAGGGTGCGCGGCGAGTCGATGTGGAGGACGGAGGCTGTGGGCAACGGCAGCCGGAAGAGCCAGGAGCAGCTGGGATGGGGGCTCGGGTGGGCTCTGGGCAGAGCAGGGACCCGGAGGGAGGGGAGGTCCCTGCAGCGGTGGGAGGGGGAGGAGGCCCACAGCAAGGATGGAGTGAAGCCTGAAGAAGGTACTGGGGGCGGGGGCCAGGGAGGGGTCCCGGCCTCCGCTGCATTTCTGGCCCTGTCTGCCCAGGGCCCGCCCCGTTCTGGTTTCTGGAAACTGACCTTCCTTCTCTGCCCTTCGGTGAGCTGGTGGACGGCTTCTCGGCTGCCCTCTGGGCACTTGCACATGCGACCTGTGTTCACTTTATTGTCCCTCCTTTTTCTCCTCTGCTGCCTTCTCCCACTTTTCTGCTCCCCCCTCTCCTCCCCTGCTCCTCCTCCCCTCCCCTCCTCCCTCTCCCCTCCCCTGCTCTCCTGGTCTCTGCTCTCCCTGGTGGTGGTGGCAGCTGGTGGCGGCACAGATGCAGCGGAGGTGGCAGGCAGCAAGGCCAGGCTCCCCGAGAGCGGCCGGTCAGGGCCTGAGCCACCCGACGTGGAAGGCGGAGCAGAGGCTGCGGGTAACGAGCTTCCCCTTGGAACCAGAGCCAGACCAGGATTAGAGTGTGGGGCCTGCAGGAAGGGGGACGGGGGTGGGCAGAGAGCCAGGCTTCGGGGGTTGACCCCTGCCTGCATTCACAGGGTGTTCCCTGAGAGCATCCACGGGGGAGGAATAGCACCCAGGGACAGGGGGAGCCCAGGCCCTAGTCGGGAGACTGGTTGGAGCGGAGTCAAGACGGTGGGGAGACCTAGAGAGCCAGGAGCCCCGAGTCTTTGGCGTCTCCCCTTCTCTCCTCAGCCCCGTGTGGGCCAAGGGGTCTGTGGGATCCCGTGGGATCCTCTGTGGCCCCGTGTGAGCCAAGGGGTCTGCAGGATCCCACGGAAGAGGGTGGTGGGGGCAGGGGCTGCGCGGACGTTCATCAGCAGAGCTTGCAATGGGGCAGGCATGAAGGAGCCTCCCTGCGCTCCTGTCCCTGACCAGTCCCCCTCTCTCCCACTCCTCCAAGGACAGGGGGGCACTCCCGATTCCCCAGCGGCCACCACTGAGCATCCTCCCTCCGCATGGGCCATCGGGAAGGCTCTCTGGAGGAGGAAGGCCTTTAGGGGTGACAGGTGGGCGTGGTGAGGCTGGTGTGCGCTGAGCTGAATCACAGGGCACCATCCCCGGCCCTGGGTCCGTGTGGGGTGCACTGGGGGCACAGGAGGTGGCTCCCACCTCCTCCGTATCCCCCTCATCTCCTCCTCTCGCCACGGGGACAGGGAACTGCTTCTATGTCAGCATGCCGGCGGGACCCCCGGACTCCAGCACTGAGCCCTCGCAGCCCGACAGCCTCCCTGCCTGGCAGCCTTGGGGAAGCAGTGGAGGTCGCCGGCGCCCTAGCCACTCTGCGCCCAGCCTGGCCCTCAGGGACGTGGGCAGCATCTTCCACACCATCGAGCAGCTCACCGTCAAGCTCAGCAGGCTCAAGGTGGGCCCAGCATGGCAGGGGCGTGGTGGGGTGCTCAGTCCCCGTCCCAAGACCCATCGCCTTGAGGGAGGGGTGTCCTCTGGCCTGGGTCCTCCCCACAGCCGCCCAGGAGCACAGAGCCACCCAGGGGCATGGTGAGGGAAAGGCGGCCGGGCCCCTTCCCCAGGGCCCTACCTCCCAGGACTAAGGTCAGACATCCCCTGCTACCCTCCCAGGACATGGAGCTGGCCCACCGAGAGCTGCTCAGGTCCCTCGCGGGAGAGTCCAGCGGCACCACGCCCGTGGGCAGTTTCCACACAGAGGCGGCCAGATGGACAGACAGCTCCCTGTCACCTCCAGCCAGGGAAACCCTGGCCTCCGACTCCAGGGACAGCCACCAGCCAGGGCCGTGCTCGGAGGATGGTGAGCAAGGCCATGTCCTCTGGGTACCTGTGGGGGATGGACGGGGGTCCTCCTCCTCCCTGAGTACAGTGAATTCATCCCCTCAGCTTCAGAAAGGGATCTGCAGGGAACCCCCACAGTAGCTCGCCTAAAAATTGGAAACCCTCTTTGGATTAGAGAGAGAAGGGACCAGGGAGCAGGTCTCCCCACTGAAACCTCTTACAGGGCGGGCCGGGACACCGCTGCCCACGGGCTCAGGGTGGACAGGAGTGCGGTGCTGCAGATAGCCCTTTCCAGGCCGCAGGAGAAACCCTGTGCCTTGTTCCAGATGGACGCACTGGGCGGGTGGGGGTTGTCCCCACACCACCAGGCCAGCTCCTCAGCTGTCCTCCCCACCTCCTCCACAGGCTCCGACACCCCCCTGGAAGACGGTACAGCACTCACAGCCTCGTCCCCAGGACTGTAACTGTCCCCACTCCTCTGGGGCTGGCCCGAAAGGGGCACAGGGCAATGGGAGCCCAGAGCTCCTTGTGGGCCCACGGAAGATGGGTCCAGCCGAGACCCCGGGGGCGCCCTGCACGTCACTTGGTCTGCTCAGGTCCCGGTCCAGTTTCAGCGTCTCCCCTGCCCTCCAGCTCCTCCGAAGGCCTCTCTTGAGAATGCTGAGTGCATCTGAAAGGCCCCCCAGACACACAGGTGAAAGGAGGGGTCTCTGTGTGAATGCACTTTCTTCCTCCCTCCCTCTCCCCGCAGGACCCCAGGGCTGACGCGGGCTCCCTCTGCCTCTCCCCTCTTCGTCACTTTGGTTTTCTATAAATATGTACGTACTGTATGTGCATCTCGCTCTGTAAATGACTTTGACCCATTTTACTTGTGTTCCTGGGGGCCCAGAGGCAGGCCCAGAGGGCACAGCTCACATCTCCTAGTTAACAGGCCTGCTCCAGGGTGAGGGTGCAAAGGGGGAGCCAGACCTGAGCACCAGGTCCTCCGTGGGCAGGAAGGTGTCCCAGCCCACCAGGCTTGAGAGCCCAGTCCCTATGGCCTGAGCCGAGAGCTTCTCTCCCCTCCCAGGACAGTCCTCTTCGGGGGAGTTCCTGACCCCACCTATGTCCACCATTTGCCACGCTCTCCCTAGGGAAAACCAGTGTATCAGGTGCGGCCCCGAAAACCGGGCCCAGGAGGTGGGGCAGGGGGTTCGAATGCTGGAGTCCCCGCATTAACCCGGGCCCATCCCCGGGGCCATGGCGGCATCGGCCCCTGTCCCCATGCTAGCCCCCTCCTCACGGCCTGGTAGGATATACACACTGTGCTAGGTGTATATATACGTATATATATAAATATATATATATATATAATATATAAAATATAGAGATGGAAATGACTGTTTTCCTGTTAAAATAATGTATACTCTTTTATTTTCTTTCTCTCATGGTTAAGTTTTGTTTTTTTTTTTTTTTTTTTTAAGAAAAGTTAAATATTCTTCAATCGTGGTGGTGTGTGTGTGATTTCTGGAACTGCTCGGATAAAAGATACTGTGGTTCTTAGGATTGGGGGGAAGACACAGGAGGCAGCCCCCACGCCTGGCTTCAAGCCCCCAGGCCCCACTGTGGCCGGAGACTCCAGGCCCAGAGCTTCCGACATGCGCTCACCGAGCCACCATCGGGCAGACCACATTCCACAGCCCCACGGCCCAAGCAGGGAGAGGCAGAGCCCACGCCATCGAAACACAGGCAATGGGTGCAGAGTCGGGAGACCCCGGCAGCCGCCCTCCACGAGCCCCAGGACTTTAAGGCAAAATGCGGGGCAGGGGGAGGCCATGTCCGAGGCCTGGCCAGTCCTCGCTGGCCTCAGCCTCTGCTCTGTCCCCCCCCCCCCCCGCTCTGACGGGACCCAGAAGCCATGTTTTTCCCCACACCTCCGGCCCTTCTGCCTTCACTGAGAGACCGAGGGCCAGATTCCCTTCCAGCTCTGCCTCGCGCTCCCTCCCAGACCTAGCACAAGCCACCTGCCGACCCCACGGGCTTCGGATCCAGGGGGACATCCGGCACTCCCTGGAGGAGCCCTGCTGTGTGCTCGGGAAGGGGGGGGACACTCAAGCTGGAGCTCAGCGGCCGGGTACTCAGACGTGCAGAGAGGCCCGTGAGAGCTGCAGAGCCTCACCAGCCTTGCAGAGCAGGCGTGGGGGCAGGGCGAGCGCGTCTCTATCTGCCAGGCTCCCTGGGCCTCATCCACAGGTGATCTCGGGGGGCCCCAGCTCTCCACGCTCCTCTAGCCCGCCCACTGGGGCGTCCCTGGCTCCGGGCGGCCATCACCTGCAGCCAATGCGCCGGGCTTTGTGGGCTTCGAGGTGCTTGGCCTTTGCCACGTCGATGCACAGACTTAACACCCTCTCCAGAGTAGCCTTCCGGTTCTTCGTGTCCCTAGCTGAGTCCTTGTCTCCAAAGTGCCTGGGCACCTGAGCCGACGGGGAAACGCAGAAGAGGAGGGGCCTATGGTGGCGGAGCCCGAGCCCTCCCCGTGCCCCTTCACCGGGCCTGTGCCAGCGGTGACAGTCCCAGGTCATCCCACCGCGTCCTCTGAGACCAGAGGCTGAATGCGGGCCCTGGCGCGTCCCGTGTCCTACAGGGAACAGGCAAAGAGCAAGCAAGAAGCACGCCCGAGGAGACAGGAGAGTGGCCCTGGCCGCCCGAGCCTAAGGGCCCGATCTCATCCTGGGAGAGCTGCAAAGCCCTTTGGCCCTTTCAGACTCAGAGTCCAAACCTTCCGTGTAGTTCTGGAACAAAGTTTTCAGACAACAGCAGTGGGGAAAGGACAGCAGTCACGGTTTGTTAATGACTGAAGATCTCCCCCAGGGAAGCCAGGCCACCAGCACTGGGCAGCCCCGCGTGTCAGAGGGAGATGGGGGAGGGGCTAGGTGGAGGACGCCAAGGGCTCCTCCTCTCTGGGCTTGGCCTTGCTGATGGGGTCCCTGGGCAGCATCAGCTCCTGGATCATGGTGTACGTTGGACATTGTGGGGAGAAGTAATTTTTCTGAAGGAGGGAAAGGAAGGTGACAGATGACAAAGGGATAATATCACTTCTCTGGGAGGAGACAGTTTCCCAGGTCGGGGCAGGGGGATGGGCAGGAACGGGGGACTCACCGCCAGCGACAAGCACAGCAGCCCCACGGGGCCCTTGGCCGCGCTCTTGGACTTGGAGAACTGGGCCTGGTGCTGCACGGTGGCCAAGAAGCCCTCCAGCCCCACCTCGGTGATGCGGTTTCCTGGTGGGGGGAGCGGCCCAGGTGGCCCCCCGGCCCCTGCCCCTCACCCCTCTGATGCCCCTCTGGCCTTCCTGCCTTGACCTCCCACCCACGTCTCTCTCCCGACACTAACTGCCAGAAGCAGGGCCTGTCCTGCTCTCACCCCGAGCCCTGTGTGGGGTGGCTCTGCTCCACCGAGTCGGGGCTGCCCCCCCCAACCTGCTGCATGGGGCCCAGGTGGCCGCAGGGGGAGGACGGCAGGGGCGCTCACGCACGGGTGAGGTTGAGGTGCAGAAGGACCTTGTTCCCAGGCATGAACACTTTCCCCTCTCGGTGCTCCACGGGCTCCAGGAGAGGGTTAACCACCTCTGAAGGCTCCGAGACCAGCTGCTGAAGCAGGAGGACCCCTGCAGCTGACCCGAGGGGCTCAGCCCACGGCCGCGCTCTCTGTCCTCCGTGCTGGGGGTACAGAGATAAGCCTGCACCCCCAGAAGCAACCCTGGAACGTGAGCCGGGAGCCAGGGCGGCCCCATCCCCCCCCCCCCCACACACACACACACAAGCCAGAATCTGTGGGGCCCAGAGGAGTCCCGCAGCCCAGAGCAGCGCCCGGGGCAGGTCCCCGGGACCACAGCGGAGGAGGTGGAGGACAAAGGCTGTTCAGGCAGAGGAACTGGCCAGAGCAAGAGCCGAAGCGTCGTGTGGCACTGCGGTTTCCCTGCGCACCCGCGGCAGCGATGAAGGCCGCGCCCGGGAGAGAGGGGGCGCCCCCAAGAGCGGCGGGCGGCGGCGGCCGGGTCAGGATGGGCGGGGCAAGGTTCCGGAGGGCGGGGCAGGGGCGGGGCCTGGCTGGCTCGCGCGCAGGAGCGGAGCCGCCGCTTCTGATGTCCAAACCCCACGTTGGGCATAGAAATTAATTACAAAAAAAATTTGTAACGCAGCACCAGCCCCTCTCCACCTGACCTTCCTCTCTGGTAGGATCCTGTCTTGATGGCAGACAAGACTCCCAAGAGAGGCCCTTCCCTGCCTATGCGGGAGACAGAAGGGGAGGACACAGACCCTAGGGCAGCTGAGGGCGGGGGCGGGGGCGGCAGTCGGGAAGGCTCCAGAGTGAGGTGTCAGACCTGTCCGAGGTGAAAGGGGGAAAGAAGGCTCCAGTAGCAGAAGAGAGGGTCTCCAGGAGCCGTGCACGGGTGGGGCCGCAGGGGGACGTAAGACGCCTTCCTGGGGAGCTGCGACGAGGCGAGGAGGACCGGGGAGGGGGAACCCAGCCGAGGAGAGCTGGGAGTGGCTGGCCGCGCCAGGGCCAGGGAGAGTTGACATAACAGGGAAAGGTTGAAGGGAAAGGAGAGCCCTGAGCTCCTGCCCGCCCCCCAGGCAGCCTGGCGGGGACGGGGGGGGGGGGGGCACGCGAGGACGGTAGGACATGAGTGGTAGCCGGAGAGACCCTCCAGGAGGAGCTGGCGACACGCACTTGAGGGAGGTCACTGCTGCCCACCATGGCCCCCCTCCCCGCGCCCACCCTCCTCCCTGCCTCCCCGCACCCACCCAGTTCCCCCCACCCCACGCCCAGCCCCTGGCGCCCACCCAGCTCCCTGAGCTCACCCCGCCCCCCACCCCCCCCCCCCCCCCCCCCCGCGCTCACGCGCGCCCACCCCCACCCCGCAGCCTACCTCGGACTCCAGCAGGAAGCTGCGCTTCTCCTTGTTTCCGATCTTGGGCCCCTTCCCCTTGCTGGGCTTCTGCTCCGGGATGGTGACCTCTGGAGTGGGGAGAGGGGCCAGAATGCACCGCGTAGATGGTGCCATACTGCCCGGGGGCCCCAGAGGGCACGGGCTGGACCAGGAGATTCGCTCCTCAAACCTTGGGACGGGGTGCAAGGGGAACAGAACCCAGGGGGCGGGTCCCTTTCCTCAGGCCAGTGCCACGGGGGTCCAGGCAGAGGACATGGAGTGCGCAGTGTCCGGGGCAGAATGGGGGGCTCGCCCACAGGAGGAAACCCAGAGACCGTGGGCCCCAGGAGGACCAGCGGGCACTCAGGAGCCCGCGCTCTCCCCCCCCCAGCTAGGAGGGGCCGCTGATGGGCAGCCCCACTTACTCCCCTTACTTACTCCCCTTGGAGGCCTTGGTGTCTTCTTTCTTGAGGGTCCCCTGTGTGGGTGACTGCCCTGACCCCGGCTTCTCCTCTCTCTTCGCCCCGTCCTGTGCAGCGCAAGGAGAGAGCTGAAAGCCCGGCTTGCTGGGGTTGTCCCCAGGCCCTCCTCCCTGCAACCGGGGTGCGCTGCGTGGCCGCTTCCTCCACCGCTCGGCGGTGGCTCGCGGCACACCCACCCCTGACTTATCCTTTTTCTTTCCCAGGCCTTTCAGGGTCTTCGTGGCAGGCGTCTTGTCTGGCTTCTCTGACAGGGCAACATTGCTGACGCCCGTGAAGGGGTTCTTCTCGCCTTTGGAGTCCCCATGTCGGGAGGAGGAAGGCTGTGCTCACAGAAGGGAGGGATGAGCCGGCACCCCTCCTCAGGGAGAGGTGAGGGGATCCCCAAGCCGGACTGACAGCACCCCCACCCCCATCTCCCTGCCTAAACGCTGACATTGCTGCTGGGGACGCTGGGCTGGGGGCCCAGACTCGCTCGCTGGGAGCGAAACCCCGGGCACTTCCCCTGCTCCTTCTCCGCGTCAGTCCTCTCCACCGCCCAGGAAGCAGCCATTCCACTGGTGGGCAAACAGCTCGAGCTCCGGGGCTGGGACCAGGGCTGGGACCAGGCTGCTCCGGGGCTGGGACCGGGCTGCTCCGGGCTCTAACTCTAGCCACCCCCTTGGCCCACACGCTGCTGGCCGCGGCTTGGTGGGAGACAGAGTGCAGACGCCCACTAGGCCTGCGCCAAGGGGCGACAACGGGCCAGGCCCAGGAGAGGCCGGCTTAGGACGGGCCAGGGGGCCGCAGGGCTCACCGATCTCGAGCGCTCCTGAGACCCCTTTTCCAGCAGGAGGCGGCGGCGCTCCACCACCTCCGTGTGTGTCAGCTCGAAGGGGCGCAGGACCTGAGGCAAGTGGCCACTCAGACGCCAGCCACCAGCCGGGGACACCCCCCACAACTCCTCAGCCCCCCCCCACCGCACCCACCTCGGCCAGCTTCAAGGCGCCCTGGTCCTGGATACGGTTGTGTGCCAGGGACAGCCAGAGCAGGGCGCGATTCAACCTGAGGCCCTGGGGCGCGGGGGTGGGGAGAAGCACATGTGAACCCGCTGCCCGCTGCCCCACTCCTGGTCCCCGGATCCCAGCTCCCCAGATCCCAGCTCCCAGGTCCCGCCAGACACACACATCGGCGATGTAGCCAGCGCCTGCATCCCCGATGTGGTTGAAGCCCAGGTTGAGCGAGACCAGGGAGCGGTTGCAGCTGTGCAGTGTGGACAGAGCCTGGCCCAGCAGCTGTGCCCCATGGTCGTCGATGTCGTTGTTCCGCAGGGACAAGTGGGAGATGCTGCCCATGGGGTGGGGAGGGGGATTCGCTAGGAACATGGGGTCGGGGCTCGCCTCTCCGGGGGATCTGACCTCTGAGGGTGAAGGGGCAGGAATGGCGGGCAGGTGGGGGAGGGCAGGGAAGGGGAGACTAGGACTACCTGGCTTGGGGAACAGGCCCAGAGACGGGGGCGAGAAAAAACAGTCTCACGTGCTGTCCAGCGCCATGAGCTTGTGATAGGACTGCTCGGGCAGCGGGTTGCCCTCCAGAGACACCTTCCTGAGGACAGGGAAGGTCTGAGAACCAGGAGGCACCCCTGAGGCCCGGGAGGGATGGGGTCAGAGAGGAAGTGTGGGTCTCCAGGACGCAGCTGGGAAACAGACTCAAAGGATGGCCTTCCAACAGAGAAAATTATACAGGACAGAAGGGTGGCCGTGCCAGGGGGGTCACTCCCCAGCGATAGTGGCCCATGGTGACCTGGCCTCTGGGAGGATTCCTGTGACCACCACGTGTGCCCCACCAGAGGGTGGCTGGACCTGGTGACTCACTTCTGATCAAATGGGATATGACAAAAGTGGTGAGATGTCACTTCTAAGTTCAAGTTCCAAAAAGACTGTGGCCTCCACGTTAGGGGCTCCGTGGCCGGCGCGGGGCTGTCCCTGCAGGGAGGCCTCGTGCTTCGTGCACCGGCCACGCGTGGAGCTCGGAAGCCAGGGGACAGCAGCTCCTGCCCACACTCCAGCGACAGCTCCACCCACCCCCACCCACCTACCCGCCCCACCCCCCACGGACAGATTTGTGAGCCAGGAATAGGGAACCACCGGACCACCACCAGCCCAGGGATGGGAGGGGGACAGAGGACCTTTCCCAAGTCACAACAAAAGTTGAACTAATGGCACGAAATTTCTCTACTTAAATATATTCTCCCATGGGGCGCCTGGGTGGTTCAGTGGGTTAAAGCCTCTGCCTTCGGCCTAAGTCATGATCTCAGGGTCCTGGGATTGAGCCCTGCATTGGGCTCTCTGCTCGGCGGGGAGCCTGCTTCCCCAACTCTCTGCCTGCCTCTCTGCCTACTTGTGATCTCTGTCTGTCAAATAAATAAATTAATTAATTAAATAAAATAAATTCTCCCACAATTTAGTATCACTTTCAGCCTTTGGGGCTGGCTCATCTTTCACCTAAGCCTCATTACACTCATTTTAAGTGATTTGATTATGTTCATCTTATTTTTGTATCTTACAACGAATGCTACTGTTCTGTTTCTGCTGGCCGATTTGTTTCTAATTGCCACAACGGACACAAGTCATGTTCCATGGTGTTCTCTGTGAAAAGTGTTGAGGACCTCCAGCTGCAGAGGACGCTGTCCCTGCCCTGCAGACAGCCCATCCCACGGGCGCGGCAGGGGGCGCGGTGGGTGAGGCCCCGGGGTTTGTTCCGCGAAGCAGAGTAAGTCCTGGCTGCTGGGGGAGGCTCGGGAAAGGGCGCCCAAACCAGCTTTGCCAAGGGCACCTGTAACTACACCCCCTTAACACCTCACACCGGCTCCTCTTCCTCTTCACAGCGTTGCTCAGCACCGCCTCCTCCAGGCAGACTTCCTGTCTCCCCGTCCTACACCCGTGCAATGGGGTGACTGCGCCTTATCTGCCCCCACTGCAGTGGTAGGCCCCAGGCCCCAGGCAGGAGGGAAAAGCTCCAGGAAGAGAGCGGATGGTGGTGGGAGGTGGGGGGGAGAGGGAGGGAGGCGAGGAGGGACGGGGCCCAGAGGCCAGCCTCTCCACGCCCTGGTGCCGCGGAAAGGGGACCCGCTTCCTCTAGTCAGACTGGAGCTTCAAAAATCAACACAGCCCTGGGCAGGGATGCGGCTCTCCTCCCCAAACTGCCCACCCTGCCGGGGCCCTCCCACCCCCTCTCCTCTCAGACCTGAGCGTGGATGCGCAGAGAGGCAGGAGAGCGATGAAGGTGCTCAGGGTCTTATCGGTCAGCCCCACCTTCCACAAGCTGGATTGGGGGGGGGTACAGAAACCCAGCTGGAGCCTCGCCTCCTCCTCCCCAGGCCCCTCCGGCCACACCCTCCCTTGCGCCCCTCCTCCCACAGCCCCCGGGGTTCTTTCTCCCATGCCACGGAGGCAGCGGCCCCACACTGGCCTCCTGCCCTCCCCAGCCCCGCGTCCCCTCACTGGATGGCCTGCAGCTGGCTGAGCGGAGGCAGACATGTAGAGAAGATTCCCAAGATCCGCTCCTCGACCTTCCAGCCTGCGGGCGGAGCGGGGGGAAGGCGCCTCAGCCCGGGGCCGGGGGCCGGGCCCGCGGCGGGGGCGGGGGTGCGGGGGCGCGGGGCTCACCGCGGATGAAGACCTCCTTCACCGACTTGTCCTCGGGCTCCAGCTCCACCTGCACCGTGGGCCGGAAGAACACGTACTTGCTCTCCAGACTGTTGAGGCTGCAAGACCCCGACAGGCGCTGATCGTCTGCAAGGCCGGGTGCGAGGGGCCCGGGTGAGGAGGGAGGAAGCAGAGCGGCGGGCCTGGGGCGGCCGCACGGACGTACCGCTCAAGTGGGGTGGGGGGGTCCGGCGTGGGGCGCAGCGTCTTGGGCCCGCAAGCGGCGTGGGCCGGGGTTGGGGAAGGAAGCCGGGAGACTCGCCCACCTGCACCCCCGCCGCGTCGGACCCTCCCCGCACGGCCGCACTCACTGCCTTGCACCCCCGCCGTTCGGCCCGCCCGGCGGTGCGAGGCTGGCTTGCACCGGGCGACTCCGGCAGACACCCCCGGGGCTCCCCGGGCACTCACCTAAGGCGGGCTTTTCCGACATCGAGGCAGAGGGGACGAAGGCCGGGTGCGGGCGAGGCCGGGGAACAACTTTGGGGAAGTCGGTGTAGCCCGAGCGCGTGCAGAGCTCCGCGAAATCCGTCTCGAGGACCCCGGTGCACTGGTACTCCTCTGGGGGCGGCGGGGGGACGGCGGCTGTGGCCCGGGGTCGCCACCGGGGGGCAGCAGAGAGCAGCGGGGTCCTGGGGGTCCCCGGCCCGCCGGGGGTGGGGGAGTAGGGGGTCGGGGAGCGCGGAACAGCTGGGGCCCCTCCTCAGGAGAACGTCTTCACAACCATTTTCTAAACGTAAGATGCGTTGTAGAAACCCGCAGAGCAAACAGCGCGGAATCCAGACGCCGGAGAAGGGGCCAGAAGGGCGCGGGCCACACACAACCCGGGGCGCCCAGCCTCCGTGCGGCACCTCCAGCCAGCCGCCGGTCAAGGTCGCTTCCCCTCCGCGGCCCGCCAGCCAGGGGGGCCTCCACCTCCCACGGGGTATCCCGCGCAGCCTCCTCCTCCGTTCCCTGGGGACGGCCCAGGACCACGCGGGGAAAGAAGCCCAGGCCCGCTGCGAGCAAAGGCAGGAGCCCAGGAGCCCCTCTGCAGACCCAGCCCGCCCGCCCCGCACCGACGTGGAGCGCCCGCAGAGCCTCCGGCGCGAGCTTGTCCCACAGAGGCGTACAGGGCGCTACACCCGCCCGCACTCTTCTAGATGCGCTGGGAACGTCGGTTCACTCCAGAGCTCCATCAGCGCGGACAGGTGCCCAGCGCATCCCCTCCGGAGGGCGGTGCCGACCCCAGGCAGTCCCCAGAGGCCCCTGCTCTTTCCTGCCTCCCCATGGGCATCCCAGGAAGAAGTGATTCCCGGAGCAGGGAAGGGGTGTCCCTGGCACGTGGGAGAACCGGGAGGCAGAAGGGTTGGCCCAGCGCCAGCCTGCTCTCCCAAGGGCCCGGCAGCCTGGAGCCCCCACGCACCATCACTCCCACCTGGCGGCCTGCGGGGGTTGCAAGCCCAGCGGGTGGACAAGGACCGCTAACAGCAGGAAACCTGCCCGCTGGCAGGAGATGGCTTGGGAGCACAGGGGCTCCGCGTTCATGGGGACAAGAGAGGGTGGACGGTTCTTGTGGCAAAGGAGCGCGAAGCACAGGCACGTTCCTCCCGCGCCCAGCCATCGGGAGAGCACGATACACAAGACACGGGAGCTCCCTGGCCAGGGCCACTGAGAGGAGGCTCAGGGTCCCCGGGGTAACCCCCTTGCACGGCGGTCGCCCGCACACCACCTGCCTGCAGGAGTTGCTCCCCTACCGGGGGAGCCCCTCGACCCTTCCTGCTTCACCCACACCAGCTTTCTCTACAACAGACCTTCTCGAACTCGAACAGCAGTTTTGACTGGAGAACCAGTCAAAGAGTTTTCTGCCCCGCCCTCGCCCGGCAGGGCCCGTGACTCCGCTGGCCCAGGGGAGTCCAGGAAAGTGCATTTCTAACAACTTCGTGGCTGGTGCCAAAGCTACTGGTCCCAGGACAGCGCCCTGAGAGCCGCCGCCGCTGCCCTAGGAGCCCGCTGCCGCTGGGACGTCGCGGGGCAGTGCTCGCTTCCGCAGCAAATGTGCTGAACTTGGCGGGACACGGAGATGCTCTGTGTCTGCCTGGAGCCCGCCGCGGTTACCTGGGGGACAGTGCCGCTCCGACAGGGCCTTGCTCTTGCTCCCTCTCTCGCACACTCCCACCTGGGTCTCACTACAGACCTCGCCTTTGCACTTGGAGAAGCAGAAGCCAGCAGACAGCGTTTCCTCTAACCCTTCCTACCGCTGCCATCACCCTAGCTGAGGCGCCAGCCCAGAGCCCTGCTTCTGCCCTGTGCTGCACACAGGACCCTGTGGCCGCCATGTGTTCCTGCCCAGCATCCCTGGGCAGTAGCCACCTGCATTCTCTCCCTGCCTTTGGCTGGGCCAGTCAGACTTCCCTGCCAGCTGCACTCCCCTAACAGCTCTGGGCTGGGTCCTGCGTGCTCTGTTCTTCCCTCCTGCCCACGGGAATCTCTTTCCTTCCCAGGCTGACCGGGACCTAAGCAGCTCCCAAAGTCACACCTCCAGCCCTGCGCTCTCTTGAGTGCTCCAGATGTGTCCAGCTGACAGCCCCGCCGAGGCCTTCTCTCACATGCCTTCCCTCCAAGCTTTCCTGGCTGCGTGAATGGCCCCTCAGCCCACCTACTGGCACCTGGGAGTCCTTCTCTTCGCACCCCAGCCAAGACCAGGAAGCCTAACCCGTTCTCCCTCACTGCTCTAGTCCGGCTACCACTGTGCCCCAGCCCGACTGTTGAAACACCTCATTCTCCGCCTCCCTGCCTCATTCTCTACCCCCTCCATGCCGTTGTCCATACAGAGTGGTGTGGGGGGGACTGGCCCCTGACCAAGTTCTGACGATCACAGCCTCTTCCCGTGTCGGTTTCCCATGAGTCCAGGGACACCAAGCCCCTGTCCCCTTTCAAAGTGGTTGGATCTGAAGCCAGAGGCCTTCCAAGAGGGGCTCCTGGCTGGCTCAGTTGACAGAGCATGTCTCTTGATCTCAGGGTCATGAGTTCAAGTACCATGTTGGGTGTGGAGCTTACTTTAAAAAAAAAATTCCCATAAATTCCCCTTCATGTATCATTGGTTTGGGTTGGGGTTCCAAGGGACAGAAGCATATGCTTACTTGTACGCGGCCTGTGGTTTTCTTTTCCCAGAAAATGTAAATGGACTATGTGTGTATTGTTCTCTCCCTACCCAAAAAGTGATTGTTGAATGAGTGCGTGAACAAAACTCCAAGTCCCCTCCTGGTGGGTTCCCCGGCCTCCCTGCCCTCCTTCCACCCCCTGCCCTGGGGACCTCCTGTCCTTCCCTGGGCCCTCTTCGCTCGTGCATCTTGGCACATCTTATCACATTTGTCAGTCCCAAACCACAGTGTGGGTTTTCTAGGATCGAGTTCAAGTCAAACATTGGCCAAGCTGAGTTCCAGGAGCGGGGCTGGAAGTGCTGTGATTTCTAAGGAGAGAGCCCAAGGCCACGCTGCCAATAGCCATTAGCACGCAGAGCGCCCCGCTGTGTGCGCGGAGGGGGTAGTGCACCTGCTGAGCACAGAGCTGCTTAGCATCAGAGACGCCACGATTGTCCCCCCGCTCGACTGTCGCGCGCACCAGGGCGTCGGTCCGCACGACCCCGTGCAGCGCGCCCGGCACGACGACGGCGCCCACCCGCCCTGGCAAAGCCGAGCGCGCGAGGAGCCCGGCCGCCCGCCTACCAGGGTTCTTGGGCTCCTCCTCGCCCACCGGCTGCAGGACGGTGACCGGCTTCTCCTTGGCCGCGCGATCCCCCTTCTTGGTCACCGCGCCGGACGACTTCTGTGTCCCGGGACGTGGGGCCCGAGGGGAGACCCCGGGCGCACTCGCCTCCCCCGACATGCCGGCTCGGTCCGCAGCGACTCTGGAACGGCCCGGCGGGCGAGGAGGCCAGACGGGACTCGGTGGGGCTGGCCCAGGGGACGGTCGAACCGGGGGTCTCTACTCCGCGGCCAGCGCCCTCCCCGCCCGCTGCGGCGCCGCCTCCGCGTCCCTCTCCACGACAACCGTGCGCCGCGGGCGGGCTGGCGGGAGCAACCGCAGAGCGCGCGGGGCCACCCGGGGGCGTCGCAGAGCCGCGGCCGGGGGCGGAGTCACAGGTGGGGCGGGGTCACGGCCGGGGGCGGAGCCACAGCCCGGGGCGGGTGCTAGGGGTGGAGCCACGGCCGGGGCGGAGCAACCGGGGGCGGGGCCCCGGAGCGAGCGCGAGGGAGGACCGGGGTCGGGAGCGCTCCGAGTCCACGCGGCCCGCTGCGCCCTGGAAGGCGGCGACCATGTGAGGGACGCGGCAGTCGGAGGGAACTGGGCAGAAGAGTCGGTGGGGACAGATCCACTTCCGGGGCGCGGTCAGGACAGGGTCCTCGTGGGAAAGGCGCGGCGCTGGGTTTCCATCCTCGACCCGTCTAGTTAGCCTCTGGGAAGCGTGGGCAGTTAGTAGATCCGGATTCGGTGTCCGCGGGTAGTGTAGACCCTGTTCCACAGCGGCGGGCCCCCATTTGAGCGGCCCCTCTCCCGCCTGCCTTCCCCCTCCAGCCTCCGCAGGGCTGTGCGCCCCAGGGTCACTCCCAGCGCCGGCTGCCTTCGCGCCGTCGTGCCGCTGCCCTGCGGACAGGCCGCTCCTCGGAAGCCGGGCCTCCCGCGGCCTGTGAGCTCCCAGCCCGCTGCTGGCCCGCACCTGGGGACCTACGAGCCCTTATCCCTGGTACTTTCCGCTCACTCAGCCTCTCCGCCTTTGGGGGAACATTTATTGATTATCTACTGTGTGCCAAGGGGAACCAATGTTGGGCACAATACATGATTCCTGCCTTCAAGGAACCCACCGCTTGGTGGGGGAGGCAGAGATGAATCAAACGATCCCATAAAGAAACCACACATCCCAGAGAAAGCTGGTACTGAAGGCCTTTTCCAGGCGCCGGGGAAGGCGCACAGCTGTAGTCCGTGCAGTGCGAGAGAGGCGCTTCCGTAGGACAGTATGTGAAGGAGCAGCAGTGAACAGGTGAGAGTGGAAGAGAAGAGGACGGATGTGCAAAGCCCCTGTGGTAGGAAGAAGTATGGCTCGTAGGACCTGGGGCCCAGGGTGACGGGAACAGAGTGACTGTGAACACAGTTCCAGGTGAGGCTGAAGAGACCTCCAGGCCAGCAAAGCCCTAAGGCCTTGGACAGTTCTGACTCGTCTGAGAGCCATGGGGCACCCATGAAGATATTCCGACAGAGGTCACCTCACTGCCCGGTGTTTTGAGCAGTTGCTTGGAGCAGGTACCCAGCGCACGCAGGCAGGACGGTCGGGCTGCTGCTAGAGTTGACTGGTTCGGGCTGCCTCTCGACTAAACAGGACAGGCTGTGTGCCTAGAACCCTCTGAAGCCACACACACACACACACACACACACACACACACACAGCCCAGCCTGGGAGTGCACAGGAAAGGAACCCCATATACATTTTCAACATTAATCTGAAATCGAACTTCTAGCAACATTGATCCCACCTGTTTACGCACAAGAGCCCCAGGGCCTTGGGGAGCCACAGGTTGGAGCACGGACGACAGGGAATGTGGGCTTTCTGCTGACCAGGGTCCCCCAGGCTGGAAGCTGGGAGCCAGGCCCTGTCCCCTCCACGTTCACTTCCTCTAGCAAACGTCAAGTTCCCGGTCTGTCAGTCCTCTCCCTGCTCCTGGCAGGTTACATACAGCAGGCTCTGTCCCCAGCCTCAGGCAGCAAAGAGCAGGTGTGTGGGTCCCTGCATACCACGGTGACTCCTCAGCGGTCCTGGCGCCGGAGCGGGGGTGATGGGGGCTGCCGAACTGGAGGCAAGTCATAATGCCCGGGGATGTGACTGTTCTTCGGTGAGTCGTAGTGGCCAGGGGGCAGGCCCGGAGGCAGTGGGGGCTGGGAGCCCACAGAGTCTCGGTCTGGGGACAGAGAGGGGACAGGATGGGAGATGGCTTCTCCCTCCTCACCCCTCTCCTCCCACTGCCAGCCAGGGATGCCACCCTGACCTCACAGGGTGAGGACCCTTTGTCACCAACCTCATTCCCCTCTTTCCTGGGTACCAACTGCTCAAGTCAGGTGCTGTTGGACCATTTCAAACCCTCAGCCCTGTGTAGCAGGGACACCGCTCACGGGCTCTGAGAGGCCAGCTGATGTCCTAAACCTCATGCCTGGTGCGAGCCCAGGTCGGAGCCCAGAGCCCAAGCTCTTGCTGCCACACTGTGTTGCTGCTGCTCTCTCTCCCTCTAACTCTTCCCTCCCCCTTCCTGTCCTGGCCACCACCAGCCCCCCTGCCCCAACGGAGAAAGGGGGGCTCACCACAGGTCAGAGGGCTGGGCTCTTCGTAGGTGCCACTATCTCTCTGTGGCTGGGGGTGTCGCCGGCCCTGGCTGTCCCAGACCTGAGCTGGCTGCCTGGGGGGGGACCCTGTGGGAGGGCCTTTCATCTCCACATAGCTGCTCTCCCGGGGGCTCCCTAAGAGGCTGGGCAGGTCCCGGATGGTGGCATAGGGGTTCTCGCTACTCAGGGAAGCCACGCTGGCCCCCAGCCCCTCTTCAGAGATGGGCCCTAAGGGGAGAAGAAGGAAGTCAGGCTCCGTGGGGGCCCGGGCTCCTAGCCCCCAGCTCAGCCTGCCCCCTCGCCCCTGCGCCCACGCCTTTGCCAGAGAACAGGCCTGGGCCACCACGGCTGCTGGAGCTGGGGCTAGAGCTTCAGTGCAGGCAGCCGCTACCGGAGAGGCAGGAAGAGGAGGGGACTGTGAGCGCGCAGGCACCCCCCTCCTCTGGAACTGCTCCCACAAGCCCCGGCTCTGACTCGCCCACCCCCGCTTCGGCCTCCAGGCTCCTACCCCGCTCCAGAGGCCCCGGTGGGGGCTCGCGGCGGTGCTTCCAGTCCGCGGGTAGGGTGCTGTGGTTATCCAGCCCCTGGAAGCCGGCGAACTGCTGACTGCCCGGAACCTAAGGCGGGGAGGGGTGTGGAGTAGGGAGCCGAGCAGGCCAGGATGGAGCTTTCCAGAGACCCGGGTCTGGGCCCACCCCTCAGCAGCGCCCCCGCCCCCCCAGCACTGACCTTGTTGGGGGGCGGGGTGTTCGGGGAGCACTGTGACAGGGTGTGGTAGCTGGGGTTGGAGTAGTAGTGGCTGTAGCTCGGCGGGACATCTGCACAGATAGACGTAGGCGTGTGGTGACCCGGCTGGTCCAAGAGAGGTCCCAGGCCGGGAGAGCGGCTCGGTCAGCAGCAGGTCAGCAGCCGGCCTCTCTGAGCCCTCCTTTCCCCTCTGACGCAGATGGCGCACTCCCCATCTTCCGGTCCGGGAAGTGGGGAGGGACATGGGAGCCCTGCCCCCCCACCCCACCCGGGCCCCCAGGCCAGCTCACCTGGCATGACGTACTCGGAGCTGTCCAGGTGCCCGCCGCTGTAGGCCACCACCAGGTGCCGGTGCTCCTTGCCCTTCTGCCAGTGGCGGTAGCCGACGAAGAGCGCCAGCAGGGCCACCACCAGGGAGCCCAGCACTGCGATGCCGATGACCGCCCCCAGCGAGTTGTAGGCCACGGGAGAGGTAGGCATCATGGTGAAGGGCTCCTGGTTTCCTAGGGGCATGGGGTGGCCACTCAGCCTGGTGTCTCGGGTCTACTGCGGTGCGCAGGGCATGTGCACAGGAGAGGCCCCAGTAGGGAGGCCGGGAGCACCAGGGGTGCCCTGGGGACAAGGGGGGCCTGGAGAAGAACTCACCAATCCTGCAGGGGGCACCGCTGTCCTCTGGGGGACACACACAGGCCCCTGTGACTGGGTGGCACCTCTCTCCAGGAGCGCACTGGCATGGCTGGGAGCAGTTCGGTCCGAACGTCCCGGGAGAGCAGCCTGGTAGGGAGGCAGGGAGGCAGGTGTGGTGAGGGGCCAAAGCGGCAGTCTCCTCGCTGGGCTGGGGGGCAGGGCACGAGTTCCCCTTCCATGGGTACCTTCCAAGCAGAGGCGTCCCGTCCAGCCTGGGGGGCAGAAACAGCTCCCATCCTGGGGGTGGCAGGTGCCCCCGTGGCCACACTGGCAGGGCTGGGCACAGTCAGCTCCCCAGTGTCCTAGAGGGCATGCTGCAGGGGACAAGTGGCTGTCTGCGAGGGCAGGGCCAGCCCCCCCCCGGACGGACGCTCAGCCCCCAGGCTCACTGAATCTGCTCGGCCTTGGTCTCCCAGGGACACCAAGGTTTCGAACCACAGCTGCCACGGGTGACCCGCGGATGCTTATCACGTGCCCACCTGCCCACTCGAACCTGCGTTTGGTTGTCTAACAGCCATTTCAAAATGGGGTGCCCAGGGCCGGACAAGCGACGGGCCTGTTACTCCCCCGCGCTTAGCTCTGATTCTTTTTTCTCTTTAACCTAAGCTGGAAGTGAGTGTCCGTACTGTTTAAGGCACGGTTTCTGTGCCCCTGACACCAGGGAACAACGTAACGGCAGCCCACCCGGAACTCTACGCCCCCGAGCCCGCACCCAGCCTCTCTGGTCACCGCTTCTCACTTCCTTCTAACACCTGCAGTACTTGGGGCTCTGGGCTCATCTGCTCCATAATGTTATTTATGCATTTTTGTGGGGAAGAAGCCACTTATAAATAAATATAAACTGAAAAACGCAGAAGCAAAAAGAAAAACATGTGAAACCAAGCTCAGGGCTCCCTCACCCGCCGCCGGCCCCCGGGCCCAGACCAACAGCGCCTTTCCCAGGCCACCCTGCAGAGGGAAATCCCAAGCTGCACCCCGGGGCACCTGGGTCATAATAGTGTCCGTACGTTTTATATAAACCACGGACCCCAAGTGGGCCTGGAAGCCTCCGGTCCTCAGCCCAGTGCTCAGCACGCACACGC